GTTTTTGGGTTCGGCAGTCGTGGGCCCGGTTTATTGAGGAAGGAACCCCGCTGGTATTGCACTGAACCAGATGATCGTCACGGAAACAGTTTTATGAGCTTAGCGTATCAACATCAAAGTAGGATGACCGCTACATCAGGATTTCATCATAATTTTAATATATTATAACGGCCCCCAACGCGTATGTAACGCGATATGGTAGGGAATAGCAGATTTTTTCCTTGCAGCAGCATGACCGTCATCACAATGTCTGACGTATGTTTGTGGATGGCTCCGAGCAAGAGCGTTTCGGGATTACCATTTTTGATTCCTAAGGTAGTTACGCTTGGCTGATTAATGGCAACGGAACGGAATTAATACGGAGAAAGTATATTCCGTGGTTCCTTGAGGATGTATGGCTTTCTGTTGCTACAATTCAGCCGGAGCAGTAAGGGATGCAGTCTTGATTGGGTGCTCAAAGTGAGAAGGGGTGTGAAAAAATGGCTACTAGAGGGAGAGAGAGTAGATTTCAATGCTCCTAAAAGGCCAGGAAGTTAGTGGCTGTTACGGATTCCAACCACCGTAGTGACGCGAAGGTGTCCAATCTTGAAAGCAATAGTCTACATTTAGTTGGAGATGGTGAGGAATGGTTATGAATTGGACAAGTGCGGCCATATGTAAATATGGGGGTCACATTAGCTAAATAATGTTAACCAGCAAGTTGTTTAATTGTTCATGGATCTGGTTATAAAGAACAGCTATGTGAAGAGACGGAATCTAACGTCGTGATTAAGGCGTAGGTGATTACGTAGATAGTACATTTGTACCGGTGGTTGGCTGGCATTGAGTTGCGAAGATGGATCTATCATAAACGGCAACGTCCTGAAGAACAATATAAATCCGCCGCAGACGGCCACTAAGACGACCCAGTTGCATTAACTCGGAAAGTGGTTGATGAAGCTAGAAGGGCAAGTTACCAGTCAGCATCTGCAGCGAAAAATGGCACATAGCGTGTGGATGAATGGGTATTTGATATTACGTGCACCGGAGAAAGAGGGGCAAACGATTCCAGAAATGAGGTAAATCTAGAGGAATTTGTATCTAAGAGCGTGCGGAGACAAGAGGTTGGATAAAACACAAGGTACGTGGACATGTTGTAAGTTTGTATGACGGGGTGGTCTCATCAGTGCGTAGTGAAAAGGGTTACAGGTATTACTGAACCCATTGCCTCAGGCGTATCGCACCAGACGCGTTTAGTAAGCCCTATGTCAACTTATCGTAAGCTAGCATTTTAATAATTTGCTGACCGATATTTTGGATTCCAAGCAGTATTTCCTAGGAAATATGCAGCAAACAAAACGGGTTCAATCCGGCAATAGAGGCATTCAACAACCGCCCTGTCTTTTTACTTTTCTTTTTAACTTTCCCTGTTACACGATTGGTCCTGGCGTCCTCAGAAACCGCTTTCAGCTGTCCATGTCTAAATCTCCACTTTCAGCCCCCTCCCACCTTTATCCATCCACATGTCCTCTAATAGCGTGTGCCGCCAATACCTTTTTCCTTCTTCCGTTTGAGGTAAACGTCATTACCACACAAAAGATACGTCACCTACACAGACAGAGTTTCCCATTCACTGGTCCTCTTACAACCCTACTCCACAACTTCGTACCCTGCGGCACTAATTTCCCCACGGTTTTCACAAACGAGACTTTACTCTTGTGCATCAATACTAATTGCGTCAGCATGACAAAAATACCGATTTGTGTAACTCGTTTTCGTCTCATTTCCTCACTTGACACTGGTCATCTACCTGGAGGTTGAGGGATATAAGATTGCAATCATATACCGCAAAACTGCCACACCTGACTACGCACGCAGACGTACGGCTAGCGTACACATATACAAACATATTGTTACCCCAGTTTCCCAACACTTACAACCTCCATCCAGCTCTCTTCCGCTATTCCCGAAATTTCGCGGTATGGCCGGTTCCCAGTTGGCCTCTTTTAAGCCCCCGCACACACGACCACCTACAATCCTCTCTACTAGTACTTGACTCCAGCTTACCTCAGCAACACACGACCACCATCCTCTCTACTAGTACTTGACTCCAGCTTACCTCAGCAACAAACCAACAGCATTCCACTCAGATAATAAAAAATCTTACTTACGACCTAACAGGACAGCACAATTGGTCGTCACCATTCGGAGCCGAAAGCGCGCTGACCAGTGGCTACCGCAAAACCTCTACTGTTCCATACCCCGAAAAAATGATCCAAATGTGTGCCTTCTTTTATCGAGTCCCCCCAAAGATCGACGCTGATTGTATTTTCCACCATAGCCTCAGGAACACCGCAGTTCTTCGTGGTCTCCCAGCCTAAGGGTGATAAAAGTTGCTGGAGTACGCTCAGTGGAAGCTCATGGAATCAATATTCATGTGAAGGCTCTATAATATCATGGCGCAAACTAAGAGATTCAGGTTGCATGACCTTCATGTCGTTACCCCTACGGACTAGTGACCTTTCAAACTTGAGGTGATTCATCTCCCTGTGCTTCAGGACAGTGTTTTGAGTACTTCTTTTGTCTGTTAGGAAAGCACTAAAACCCTTTTCAGCTGTAGGCTTCCTCCAAAACAATCGAACTTCAACGGATAACCACTTTGTCCAAGTAAGGACGAACTTTCGAAACCACCCCAAGGCAGTCCAACAGTTGACTGCGCTTCTCTGTTGCATCAATCTCGGATCAAGCTTCTTGCCTGAAGCTACCCGACCCGGTTGTCACAGCTGCTTTAAATTGCACAATCTGCAACTACATTTCGCACCAGAAATTCATCTGAGCTTATGACAACCGATTCCTTTTCAGGTTACTCAGCGCCGCTGCAACCGCAACCATAAAGGATTGTGAACATAAATGTATTGTAGCGGAGTACTAGTCATGCGGTCCTCTAAACCTCTCATCCGTAACTTATCCCTTGCAGAGAAGTTACGTCGTGTCATTTTATTCTTTTTTAATTACCGACGCTTGTTTGTGACCCCTCTACAATAATAACAGGTATACTTCGCAGCTAGTAGGGAACATATTGATTGAGAAAGGATGGTGCCGTTACATTTAGAACGTGGCGGGCATCAACACGAAGGGGGAAGGCCGAGACACGGTGGCGAACCTTGATGGGCAGTACTTGATGAGTACTACTAGATTATGCCCTCATCTAGGATATTAATTTCAGAGCACCCCCTCACACCCGTTCAAAAATTTTAATTGCGTGGGCACACATGTGGGCTCTTTCTTCAGCTTTACAATCAGAAATTCTTTTCCGTCCCCAGCAGCTCTATTATACAACCCCTCTACACTATGTGAGTGAGCGGGTAACTCGACTGTAGTATACGACTTATCTGCGCACAATGGGTGCATCCCGTTACCTGCGTACACATGCGTAGACTGCTGTACTACCAACAACTTGATATCCGCAGTTAAATACGGATTCTTCCAAAAACATTCCTGTGTGACGGACATCCTCATATTTATAGGCAGCTAAACCCAAGTTAAGGACGGGGGGTTTATACAGGATGCATTATTTTCCGACTTCTTAAAAGTGTCCGATCAAGTAACATACGTCCTGCTGCCTCACAAACTCGGGTCTGGTGGGGCTCGAGGGGAAATGCTACACTGGATTAGGGCTGTCCCATCAGACAACATTTCCAGCGAAAGTGAGCTCGACCGGCTCTTCCCCGGTACCGGTCTGCATTGCAGTTCCTCAAGGTTTTGTTTTTGGGACCGCCTCTCTTTCTGATCAACGTCAACAACCTTCCAGACATTTTCAAGCGCATGTCTGCATTTCGCGAATGACTTGAAGTTCAAATGCCCGCGTTCCCTAAATGGATGTAGACGCTGCAAATCAGTGGTCCTTCTACTGGTACCTTCCTCTGAACGTTGTAAAGTGCGCCCGTATGTCATTCTAAGGGGGCTTAGCGAGCGTCTTTATCGTGCACGGTGAGAATGAATTAGAACGGGGACGGATGCCCAAAAGCACTTATATATCTGTCCTTTTCAAACATGCCCTTCTCAGTGCAACATTGGAAGTCGGCCAGAAAGGCATCCACCGTTCTACGGATGATTCGGTGCACCTTCTTCCGTATTACCCGCACGGACTTCCACCCACTCTATAAGGCCTATGTCAGACAGCTTCTTGAATGTGCCAACCGAATTGTCTACTCGGGACATACTAAAGACGTAACCCTAATTGAGCGCGTCCAACCAACTCCTGCGAAAATTGTTGCCGGCCATAAATCCGTGGACCATAAAACACTTATCGTGGCGCCTAACCTCCGAGGAGACTCGCTGACTTACGCTTACTTATGAAACAGGTATGGCTAGCGGGTTTTTCACCGTTGACCCAGCTAACACACGGCGGGAACTACTACGTAGTTTTTCCTGCTCAGAATGCACACCCTCATCAGACAAACTTTTTCACCCCTCAGTCACTGAACGACGAGAAAGAAACTGTCATGGAAACTTGGGAGGAAGCCTTGGTCTTGTTTGTCAGTCCGTGAATCCGTGAAACAGGTCGCGGGCGTTTATGCTAGTATCTCTAGACAGCTATCATTCACCGTAGTTCCCAGCCTAGTAATTTAGGTGGTACTGTCCTTATATCCCTCCCTTCCCAGTCACCGCACGAATCTGAAACCAGCTGCGATATATGGCGATGGGAAGCGATGAATTTTTCAGTTTCTCCTGGCGAATATACATGTTGCACCTAGTGTAATATGCCGAAAGTACTGACTGAATTCGGTGTCATGAAGACCGGTCATCACATGGGGTGAAGTCCAATTCCTTCTCTTCCGTCTAGTCAGGTTTCGCGAACCAGCTTCTACAGTCGATAACTTGCCAAACGGAGACTATGTGCCGATAGCCTCCTACTGATATGCGCCTGTACTGAACCTATTTAATTGTTTAAATATACTACTTCTACCCGAGCGCAATCGAATCTGCATCTGCTGGGGCGCGGCACTCAGTTTCGCTGAATGGCTTCTAGTAGGCTCGTTCAGAGAAAGAAGAAGCGGGCGCTCAACTGTATAAGTCTGTTTGATCAGGTCGTTTGCAAGTCACTCAAGGTATTCTCTACGTGGAGTATTTATTTTTTAGCTTTTTCAACAAGACTTTGGTGCTGACGAGACAGCGCTCAAGCTATTGGATGTTTTGTGGAAGTCAGAAGACAAGTGGCATACTGCAGTCGGGAAACTTGTACGTGAAGTCAGAAGATTGCACAGTGAGATTTCGAGTTTGAGAGCGTTGCAAGTAAGCATTTATTTTATGCTTTATCCTAGTCACAAGGCACGAACACAGGAGCTTTTAGAAACGGAGTCCAACCGTCGTCGTCACGCTGAGCACTGTAGGGATAGATTGAGACGAAAAATTGACGCCATACGTGAGGTTTTGGAGGGGAACGATGTTGACCAAGCCCGACGTTATCTGGAGAATATTGACAAGTCCACGATGATTGGTGACAAATCAGTGCAATCCACAAAGCTGGAACACTCTGCCGGTTCTCTGCTGGATACGGCGAACGTATCGGATGATTCTGAAATGGACGCTTGCCGAAAGGAAACTTGTGGGTTAGTTATACTTTCCTGAGTTCTCAGAGTGCACTAATTGAGCTTAATTCGACATCTCCCTAGCGGGGGAAGATGGCTTAGTGGTTTGAGCGCCAATTTACTGATCAGAGGTTCCGTGCTTCCAACCCGATTTCTCCCGTCTAGGCTGGGGAAACCTGGCAGTGTCCCAGCCATCGTGCATCCTTCCGTTGTCATGACGGCTAGGCACCAAAAGGGTGCTACAGTTAAACGATTTACCTCACCCAGCGGATCCGGTACCAGCGCCATAAGCGGCCATTTTAGGTTGCAAACTTGGTGTTTTAGGTGCTGTCCCTGCTAAAACCGCTAGTATTTCACTAAAATACGTGCGTGTATTTACGCGCTCAGCTTTCTCTATGTTTTGTGATATATCCGGTAGCAGCGGAATCGGGTAAACTGGAAAGGAATCCGGTATCGTAAACTCAGATGAATATTTGGTGCCAAATGTGGTTGAAGAGATATGCTTAAGACAGCTGTGACAACCGCAGTGAGTAGTTTCAGAAAGAAGCTTGATCCGAGGGTGATTCACCAAAGAAATGCAGTCGACTATTGGACTGCCTTGGGGTGAGTTTGAAAGTCCGTCCTCACTTAAACAAAGTGGTCATTCTTCGAAGTTTGATTGTGTTGAAGGAAGCGAAGAGGTGGGGAGTTTTAAGGGTTGTGATTAGTTTAGTCTGGTTAACATTGGGGGCATTAGGATGAGCTGTCAGTCAATTTCGCCGGACTCTGTTGATTGAGTGTTTGGTGGTGTAGGCCCATCGGTTGGCTGGCGTCAGACAACCGCTTTGTGTGTTCCTATTTTTTCACATGCTGGTGTTACGGTAGTGAAGTATGGTGTAGTCATTGGTAGTGAATATATCGCCATCACCCCACGGAGTTCGGTACGAATTAGACAAGAAAATGGGTCGTCCTGTTCCTCAAACGAGCGACTGTTTTGTCGATACTATCAAACAATGGAGATAGTGCACCACCAAACTGTCTTACAGAGGAACTGAGACATGGTCAGAACGTGGATCCGAAATAGGAGTAGCTGCTTTCTGTCGAAGTTTTGTCAGATGATCCAAGTCATATGTACCCCCGGAAATGAGCATCTCAATGTCGACAAATTAATGTCTGACTTCGCTGTTTTTTACGTTGTAATCTCTGAAGAATGAACAGTGCACTTACGCTCGGCTTAACCGGCTTGTCTCAGGATGTCAAATTTTCAGAAAGTCCATAGTCTGTCTCGTTAGATCTTCGGGAGAAGAATTTTAGGGTTGCAAATGTTAAGACAATGAAGAACCTCACCCAAGCGATTTATCTTGGTGTTAGGCCAAGAGCTCTTGAGTTATGTCTCATCATCATCATCATCGGGAAGAATTTAGGGTTGCAAATGTTAAGACAATGAAGAACCTCACCCAAGCGATTTATCTTGGTGTTAGGCCAAGAGCTCTTGAGTTATTTTTCATCATCATCATCATCATCATCATTGTCAGCTGTAAGAACCGCGTACTCGTCGTACACTGGTTGTAGCTGCCACAGTTTCGTTCACCGATGATT